TTTTTTGAAAGTCAATCAGATATTGTGGTTGATCCATGTTTATTTGTACACTCTATGACTGAATGGTACTTTCCTCTATAATAAGAACTAATAAAGAATAAGAAGTCTTAAGCTGTAGTTTTCTGGAGAAATTTCTAGTTGGAATTGTAGTAGATGAAGACTGCCTGTAGGAAATAACTGAGTAGATAAACTTCAAGTACAAACTGCTAAGAGCAAATCATCCATGCAAACAATAAAAAAAACTCAATGAAAACATTTGTCATTGAAATTTCTTCAAAGGTTTCTGAAATATTTGAATTGACATAGAAAAGAAAATGACCAGTGAGCTGAGGATGAAAGGTGACGAGTAAAAAACAAATTCTTTCAATCAAACAAGGTGCCAAGCAAAAATAATGGTAGAGAGAAGAGAAGCAAAATGAGAATGTAAAGCCACTAGAGATTGCATAACAGTATGTACAGGAAGGTGAAGACATAATAGGATTTATTTTTCCTTGACCTATAAACCTCCTGGTAGTCTCTTCTTTACAGAAACAATTGATGAGCATCATTCGGTATTGGGGCATATACCAGTGCTTGCATTGTAGAGAGAACATCCCATTCCAGAGTGTAGAATGACATGAAAGGAAGTATATATGGTCAACAATGTCCCAGATGACTCTCTTCTGACCCCAGATAAGAAGTGCAACATTCTTTGACTCTTCTGCACTTGTGCAATAGCCTGTAGCTTTCCTGTGATAGCCTCCTCCAGGGCCAGATTTTAGCTTGAGAATTGAAACTTATCATGGATTCATCAGCTCAATATCCACCAAGCTTGGAAATACTTCTCCATTAATTCTTAGCTGTACCTGAGTACATGGTAGTCCCCACCCCCAAAGCCACTGTGTCAAAAAAAGACAGCTTCAGATTTATCAAAATCATTCATTCCCTAAGACCAGTAAGCATGTGATTATTTCCTTTGATTAGTGAAATTTGTAAATAATTGGGCTTATTAGAGCACACTGTGGCTATTCTTAGAGGAGAATATGCCATAATTTAAGTTCTCCTCATTGATACAAGGCAAAACAAAATCGGTTCATAGTCAAGATAGATATAACTAATAAAAAGCCCACCATGCCTTTAGGCAGGTGACCAAATAGTCCTGTAGGGACAGCATGAAGACCCAGTTCCGGTGTTACATGTGGTAGGAGGAGGCACAGTGGTTCAGGCTGAGCAACTTAAGAGTATCTTATTTGAGGATAGACATGCTACATTTAAAGCTGTGTTTTTCCCTTTCAGCAGTCAATGCTGCAATTGCTTCAAGGGACTGCAGCAAAACTGACCCTGCATGTCAAATAAGAGATTATTATTAAAACATGTTTTCAGACTGCCTTTTTTTCTTTCACAAATATTTCATTGTGGTATGAGTGACCTGCTAAAAATATTTCAATTGTGGAAGAACTTTCAAATTTGGAGCCCATGCTCTTAAAATTCACAGCCAGGATTCTGCAATGTGTTAAGTCCATTGACCTTCAGCCTTGTTCAAGGAATCTTCAAAATCCTGTCTCTATTGGGTCTTTTAGGGTAGCATCCCTATTCTCTCCATTATCAGATGATAATCTGATATCAATTGAATGTCTTACATAGTCACTAGTGAAAAATAGAAGCTGAGGTGAGTGCTGGGATTAAAGGCGTGCACCACAACAGCCAAGCTATGTGTGGGTGGTTTTTAATTGTCATTTAGAACATTGTCATTATATAGGATGTTTGGCTACAAGTTGTTATTATTACTGGACAGGAAAAAGGCTAAACAGAGGAGATTAGACTTAAGGTTCTTGTTAAAAAAAAATAAAACAAAAGGAAAAAGAGGAAGATTATTGAATCTACTCTGAGGAAAAAAATGATATAGAAATGACAAAAATAAAGGATAGATTATTAAATCTACTCTGAAAAAATAAAAAGAGACAATATAGATATGATATAGATAAAATGTAGTGTGTTTAATTTACTTTTAGAAAGCAACTACAATTTTTATATATTTTATATTAGATTGGATTTTATTATTTTGTATATTGCTACAAATTTGACATTGATGTATGTAGATATGAAAAGATAAAAGGTAGATTATTGAGTATTTTTTTAGAAAGCAATAATAGTTTTAAGTATTTTACATTGGAGTGGATTTTTATGTTGTATACAAATCATGTATATTGACACAAATTTGAGATGGATTTTGTTGAAAAATGCTGTACATATATTTCTAATCTTGTTCAAGATACTCGGGAGGCAGAGCCAGGCAGAACTCTGTGAGTTCAAGGCTAGCCTGGGCTACCAAGTGAGTTCTAGGAAAGGCACAAAGTTACACAGAGAAACCCTGTCTCGAAAAACCAAAAAAAAAAAAAAACCAAAAAAAAAAGAAAGAAAGAAAAAGAAAAAGAAAAACGAATGCAATGCAAATTGCTATCCTTGAAAGTTATTACCATCTAATTAGGACATAAAGAAATGAAAGTTTGTAGTTAGTCATTACAATCGAACTTGTAGTTATATTAGGTATATTTTCAAGATCAAGCACAAGTATAATTTAGATAGACAGGTCATCTTCAAACTCTTTAGAAATCTACCCAATGTGGCATTTAAAATGTTTTAATGACAAAGATTTTTTTTTCCTTTTTTATGACTATGAAACATGTTTGATCCTGGCAGCACCACTCTACTTCAGAAAAGATATGAGAATTGAAGAAACTGCATATGTAGGTAACTTTCACTGTGGCAAAAGTTAGCCACTGGCCAAGAAAGTGCCCTTGCATAGACTACTGACAGTATACTATCTAAAATGGACAAGCAGGACACAAAACAGAAGATTGCCAATCCTTGCCAAAGCAAGTGTAGCTTTGGCAACAGGCACCCTCTGAGGCCAAGACAACATGGCACCATGGCTGAAGTGGCTTTGCACTCAGGCAAAGGTCCAGTGCCCCTTCCTTCAAAGGCATCAGAGCAGGCAGTGGGCTGATGGCTCCTGGTGTGCAGTGGAACATAGCTGGAACAGTTATTCTTGAAGGAATAACTAGGCTGACAAAGTCTGGACTCTCAATAGTAGACTGGCATTTAATGAAGGAGATGAAGCCACCTACAAATGGGGAAGAATGGGAAGCCAAATTCCAGAAACACCAGCAATTTCCACAATTTAAAATCCTGAATGACACTGGCAGAATTCAAGTTTATCTCATATATGGATTGTTTGCACTGAATGTGGGGTCAAGCTGTAGGCCTTGCATATATCCTGCTTCACAAATGAGTCTGTCAGATATACTAAGCCTTTCAGCTGAAAAAGATGCCTCAATATTACACAGAAACCGCAGGTGACTGTCCAGGCAGCTGGCTGTTTCTGTCATAACTCACATTATTTGGAAGCCACTAGTTTTCACTTCCTATTTTGCAAGGTAATATTATTTCCTTCTTGGGTCTCTGAGGGAGGTGAAGATTATATAGTTGTAGTTACAGTTTTCCTTGTTAAGAAATTTCAGAAAAGAAACTCACTAAGAGGTGTCAAGTGTACAAATTTGATAGATGTCATAAGGTAGTTTTCTGTTAGTAATATAAGGATAGAAATTGAATTAGGTACATTTTTGACTTACCAAAATAGGATAGATAATGAAGTATCTTCTCTGAATTTGAAATTCAAACTGACTAGACATTGTTGATATATTTATTGCTTGTATCTATTGTATAGAGTTTTAATTATTGTATATAGTTTTTCTTATATTAGTTATAACTGTGGTGATAATCTAATTGTACTGAATTATTATTTTGATTGTATGTTAATAAATAAAGTTGTCTGGGAGTCAGAGCTATTAGAGCCATAGCAAGAGTGTGGCGGTGGTGGCACACGCCTTTAATCCCATAGATATCTGTGTGTTCAGGGTCAGAGCT